ATATTTTTCTCTGTTTGAAATATTGTGGCTATTTGTTAAAGGACCACTTTATTATGGTCAAAGAACAGTTCCGTATTCATCTGTAAGACAGCCAGAATATTCAACAGTATGTGCATAAAAATAACTTCCTTGCCCTTCAAAGTGATGTGTGTGCTGGGGTCAGAGGCAGCAGGCATTCCAGGCAGGAACGCGGATAGCAAAGCGCTGGGAAACTATGGCTTTGATATTCTCGCACAGCAAGGTGTAAGTGATCACCATACAGGCAGAACTTTGGGAGTAGGTGATCTCCTCTATCTGTTTCTCTAAATGAGGCCTGACTGCTTTTTTAGCTGAAGTTCATTAGAGGAGCAGGTTTTGGAGGGTGGATGGGGTTGAGGGATCTATGCTAATGTTAGCTGTATCCAGGGGACTCTGCTCAGAGTTTCACAGGAGGGAAAATGAGTCTGAGCTCTCTGAGTGATCTTTCTCCCTCTTAAAATAATTAAAGATGACTTCAGAGCGCTGGTTGGAGGTGCTTTTTAATGTGCTGAGGATGGTTAGACAGATTGGAGATGAGGAGCAGTTTCAGTTTTGCGTGTGTGGTAGAAAGCTGTGCCTTTCACCAGAGCTGAAGGTTTTTTTTTTTAAATTTCGCTGCAGAGTGGCTTTTCGTGTTTGCAGAACGTCCGCCTAAAAGGCTGTCGTACAAATCGAAAGCCCTTCAGTGTTTCATTACCAGTGTTTACTCGCAGACTATTTTTATCCGTTTGTCCTTTGCGTGTGTGTGCGCTCTCCCTGCCCGTGAGGTGGGTGTGTTGGTGGGTGTGTTTGTGTGTGTGTGTGTGTGTGTGTGTATACGCATGTGTATGTGCATGTCTACACACTCACCCTGCCTGTCCCATAAGGCCTTGGGATTGTTGACTCCTGTGCAGAGCTGCCTCCCTCTCTGTCCTGCTGAATAATCTGCACTAGTGGGGGTGCTCCCTGACTCTGCACCGCAGTTTGGGGGTGCTCCCTCACTCTGCGCTGCAGTTTGGGGGTTCAGGCTGCCTCTGCACCATGGTTTGGGGGTGCTCCCTGACTCTGCTCTGCAGTTTGGGGGTTCAGGCTGCCTCTGCACCATGGTTTGGGGGTTCAGGCTGCCTCTGCACCATGGTTTGGGGGTGCTCCCCAACTCTGCTCTGCGGTTTGGGGGTGCTCCCCGACTCTGCACCATGGTTTGGGGGTGCTCCCCGACTCTGCTCTGCGGTTTGGGGGTGCTCCTGGCTCTCAGTGGCAGCTGTGGGGGTGTCTCTCGCTGTGCCCGTGTCCTTCATGGCGGTGCTGCTTCAGGGCCCCGGGCACGCTGAAGGACGGGGGCTGTTTCCTGTAGGAAACCTGACCCCCGCAGAGCCTCCCTCTGTAAGGAGCGGAGCCCGCTCGGTCACTGCGACCTCCCTAAAACACACGCCTAAAACACACGCCTGAGCGGCGTGCGGTGCATGACGCGCTTTACTGTGCGTCTGAGAGGCGTAATTTCTGGCTCACTGCCAGGAGAGTGGACACTGAAACACAAGCTCTCTGCGCTCAGGCTGTGGCCGGAGAGAGTTATGACACAGAGCGTTTACCGGACTGGGGTGTGGTGTCGGCCGGGCGGGGAGCGGGGGTAAGAGTCATCCTTTTTATCTGATACTCATCGTCTGCGTGCTTTAATGAGCTCTGTGCTCCCTGCCCTCGGGGCCGGGGGGGGGTGAGGCCGGTCTGCGGGACAGAGGCGTGCTGGCGTGCAGAGGGCAGAGTCAGTGTGGCATTCATCAGCTCCTGCATCGTGGGTGCACCCCAAACGCCTCCCGGTTCTCTGCTGGCAGAGTGAGCTGAGCAGGAGTGTTTATGAGCATCACATCAGAACGAGCTGGGCTGTTATTTTCCCTCCATAAAACATAAGATCAGCTTTTTGCAGGTAATTCCATCAGCGTTGTTCTGATGCGGGACCCTGCGGTGTATTTTGGTACAGTCATCGTTTTTCGGTGGCGGGGCTGAGCAGTCACAGGGGGAAGGGCGGGGACTCCGCGTTCGGGACGAGTCTGAGTCCCGCAGGGGTCAGCCAGGCCCGTGATGAATGTGCATGTCGCTGGCTGAAGGTGTGGGGCTGCTTCAGGGAGGAGCTCACAGAATGAGGAAAAGGCCTGTGATGCTGACCTCTGGTGCGGAGAGGTAACGGCAGGACAGAGCCTTCCTCCTGGGCCTTCAGGGTGTCCCAGCCTGCTCTCCTCCCACTGAAGGAATCCTGGAGTTTTTTTTTTTTTTTTTAAATCTGAAATATCCTCACAATAAAGCATTTAAATCTTAGAAATGCGGGTGTTTAAGACGGAGCTATGGGGGTACTCTGTGTTTATCTGCGGTTCGTACTCTGTGGTGTTAGCAGACAGCGCCGTGTCTGCTGGCTTAGACTCTGATGCCCTCTCTGAGCCTCCGATTGCGCGAGATTAGTCCACCTGCAGGCCCCTGAGCCGGCGCTGGAGCCACCCGTCTCGCGCAGACCCCCCCCACGGCGACGCAGTCCACCGTCTGCGCGTGGTGTGGCATAGCGTTAAGGAGCAGGGCTCGTAACTGAAAGGTTGCCGGTTCAATTCCCCACTGGAGCACTGCTGTTGTAGCCTTGGGCAAGGTACTTAACCCAGAAGAACCCTTGCCTCAGTGAATATCCGGCTGCACAAATGGAAAGCATGTAAAAATTGTAACATGTGTAAGTCACTCTGGATGAGAGCAGGGGGTCACGTGTGTAATGCTTGTGAGAACAATGCCTGCGGTTCCGGTTTTCCCTCCTTCCTCTGTGTGCGGGACGCTGCTGGTCGTGCTCTTCTGCAGTCACGCCAGCCCCCCCCGTCTGCCTGGGGAAAGCTCTAAATGGCCGTCTGGCCTGCCGTCCTGTTCGGAAGTGGATTTGAGGCGGGGGGGAAGGGGCGGAGACGGGAGGGGTGTTACGAGGGATTATCTCTGCCGCTGTGACGCTGTTGAACAGCGCGGGGACGCTTCCTGAAGCCTCGCCCTCACCTGCTCCCCATGCCCCGCCTCAGGAAGGCCTGTTCCTGTGCGTGCTGCTGCCGCCTGCGCTCGGGGGCCCTGCGCTCGGGGGCCCTGCGCTCGGGGTGCCTGCGCTCGGGGGCCCTGCGCTCGGGGGCCCTGCGCCTCGGTGCCTGCGCTCGGAGCCTGCGCTCGGGGGCCCTGCGCTCGCGCCTGCGGGGTGCCTGCGCTCGGTGCCTGCGCTCGGTGCCTGCGCTCGGAGCCTGCGCTCGGAGCCTGCGCTCGGAGCTCGGTGTTGAGCTCTTCAGTGGCTGTGTAGAGTGGAAAGTTGGGAAGGAGCTGGGCCCTGAGCGCCGGGGGCTGGAGGAGCAGCCTCGCTTGCCGGGAGAGACACTACAGCGCCCTTGCGTGGGGGCTTGGGATCACCTTCTCTGTGCTGCTGATCCAGCCCTGCAGGCTGTGTTCATCAGACAATACTCTAAATGCACTCTGAGTACCAAGGCAACATGATTTTTTTTTTTGGTTTTGTTTTTATTTCTTTTCCTATTGCTCTTCCAGTGGGCCTGAGTCAGTGTGTGTGTCTAATCACAGGTTGTATGCCCACTACAGCACCGTTGTGCCAGCAGAATTACGCTGTTTTGCCTCAGTGCTAGCTGAGAGGTTCATGGAAATGCGTGCTTGTTTTTCTGTTTCTTTGCTCTGTGTTCAGGAATAACTCTAAAGAGTTACTGTGTTTTCTGTGTTATTTTCTGCCTCCTCTTCAGATAAATGACTCGATCAGAAACCATGTTTAGCAGAAAAGCAGTGTTTTCTTTTCATTCAGACACAGTTCTCTGCCTCGTTAGAGTTGCATGGGACAGGTTAATGCACACATTACTGCCAGCGAACACCCTAAAATATGCATTAGATGTGTGAAAGGGGAAGTAATTGGCTCCTCTGTCACACTGAGTGGCCGAATGTTTAATTTTTTTTTAAGTTTTATTTTTACTTTTCTCATTCTTCTTTCAGTCTGGTTAGTGCAAGCAAATATTTATCAGAAGCTGAGCTCACACCTGTTTGATCACTGTTTACTTTGATAAATATTCACGCTTCAGTTTTATAATGAACTTTTCGGTGTCATGACATGAAAATTATACCGCAGATATCCTTGGCTACCGCAGTGTCAGATATTACGAGCTGTCGGCTCAGCCCTGCTGACCTTGTTTGGCTGTGGTATCCGGGTAAATGCGCACGCTCCTGCGTTAGTCTCACTGGAAAGAACAGTGTGGAGGGCTGCTTCCAGCTCCAGTTACTGCCGTAAGAACAGATCCAGCAGAAGAGTGCCAGCTGAAATGAGCAGAATAACCTGTGTGAGAGGGGAAAAGCCGTGAAACCTGCTGATCAAAGGAATTTCAGCCCCTCCGGCAAAAGGCAATCACTGAGTGCAGTCTCCGGGTCCGTTTAAAGTGAATGGATGCAAAAAAATGAATTTTTATGTCACTTGTCAATGTAAAATTCAGAGCGTCTGTGGCTAAATGCATGGGTCCCTGCTCTGCCGTTAAGGAGCAGTGCGTTTTGCATCAGAAGGGGAGTGTCCCGAGTGGTGGTGTTAGAAACTGTGTCTGTTTCAGCACCTGCGGTATTGATTTATTGGGCTGCTAAAGGTAATCCTGGGTTTGAGGTGTAATGGGAGCCGTGTGGGAGAGATCTCCTCGCTGTGAGCAGGGAGTGGATCAGTGGGCAGGTCACATGATCACGAGAGAGTAAGATAGGGCCTATTCATTCACCTCTCTGCTTGCACCAAACTGCAATGAACTGCATTGAAACAAAGTTTGAATGATTGAACTATAAACATATAATCATATATAAATGATTAAAGACAGTATTTTACATTACTGTTTTACTGTCATTTGGCAAAGGCTTTTACCTAGAGTGACTTAGGTTACAGGTTGTTTTCTTTACATGTTATCCATTTATACAGCTGGATATTTACTGAGACAGTTGTGTTAAGTACCTTGCCCAAGGGTGCAGCAGCAGTGCCCCAGTGGGGAATCGAACCAGCAACCTTTTGGTTACCAGCCCTGCTCCTTACCACTATGCCACACTGCCGCCCTTAAATATTTTATGCCCTGAAGCCTCATATAATCTCATCAGACAGTGCAGTACCGTAGGAAGCAGAATTTCTTGCTCGTAATGAATTGTCAGGCAAACTTCATTAATGTTGTGCTTATACTTCTGGGTGCACTGTGCAGCCTATGAAATGGCCAAGTTCTGCTTGTAGTTTTTTTATCATTGTAGAACAGGGTAATTTTCCAAATATCTTTTTTTCCTTTTTTGTAGATGCAATCTAATTAGTTTTGCCTGGAAAGCTCTGGAAATCTCTCCCACGTCCCCTCGCTGAAATGAATTTCTGAAGCTTGTGTGTTGCGTTTTCTTCGCCTGTGGTGCCAAGCCTTAATAGACGCTTAAAAATTTGGTATTCAGTACACGAAAGCTTCCAAGTAACTACTTAGTTCCGATTGTGTCCTAGAAGGTAAAATCTTACATTGCATCTGGCCTCGGAGCACTTTTGTGAGTGACTTATCATATTGGTTTGGTTGGAATGGAGTAATGAAATCAAATTCAGATTTTTTTTCCTGCTGAATAAAAGCTTGCTTTTTTGAATATTTTTGCCTCCTGCCTGTATTAAGTGCTGTGTGTATCTCGCTAAAAGAGGGTTGAAATGGCAGGCGGTATATTCATATGGAGATGGAGCTCAGCTGCTTAAAATGGAATGAGATTGGTAGGTTCATGCGGCGCTCTGAAGGGTGCTGTCCTGCATTTAATGATTCCGGCCAGTGAAGCTGAAGGACGCAGGCAGCATTAGAGGCGCCTGGTCCCCCCCCGCAGCACTTACAGCTGAGGGCTGGCCCTGTTCGGGCGTCTCCCCCGATGGGGGAGGGGAGGAGTCTCAGGTGTCAGGTGTGTCCCGTTGTGGCTGAGACTCTGGTTTTGTTTTCTTCTCTCCTCAGGAGAAAAGGAGAAGCCCAAAGTCAACCTGGAGGAGCTGCAGATCAAAAAGGTGAAGAAGAAAAAGAAAAAGAAACACAAAGAGGAGGAGAAGCGCAAGCGGCCCAAGATGTACAGCAAGTCGAGCCAGACGGAGCTGCCGGGCCCTCCACCAAAACCGCCGCCCCCCCTCCACCAGGGCAGCGCCCTCATCAAGGAGGAGCGGGGCTGCAGCCCCCACCGCGGCGGCCGGCCCGGGGAGGGCGGGGGGGCGGCCTTCGCCCCCCTGAAGGCGGGGCGCCCCCAGCCCCACTTCCCCGGCCTGGAGGGGCTGGAGTTCCGGCGCTTCATCCACGTGGAGCAGCAGCCCAACGGGGGCGCCCTGGTGGCACACGCCTACAGCAAGGAGCTGGCGTGCCTGTCCCCCGCCGAGATGCAGCGCTTCGCCCACGACTTCGTCACGCTGGCCTTCAGCGAGGACGAGGTCTGCGCCGCCCACTACGTCATGGGCATCGTCCACGGCGCCGCCTCCTACCTCCCCGACTTCCTGGAGTACTTCTCCCTCAAGTTCCCCAACTCCCACGTCAAGATGGAGATCCTGGGGAAGAAGGACATCGAGACGACGACGATGTCGAACTTCCACGCTCAGGTAAGGCCTCGCGCAGGCCCGGCTGTGTCTTTCACTCTTTATTTGAGGAAAGGAGTGCCGGTGTGCAGCCGCATGCTTAGCTTTGATTTAAGAAACCTCTTGGAATAAAGGCCTGGAGAGTCTGCAGAAGAGTCACTCGCAAGACTCCAGATCAGTGCATCACTGTCTCTTGTTTGAAACGGATGCGCTGCCAATTATACAGTCTCACACTTATAATTATCTGGATTTCATATCTGCAAAACTTTTTTTTCCCCATGAATGGCAAATTAGTTTCTGAAGGGAACTGGAAAAAATATTCTGATAACAAGCTGTCAAATGAAGCTCTCAGGCTAACATCCTGCGGCGCAATTTGCTCAGTGTAAGTAGATGCACATGGGAATCGATCGAGCCAAACGCAGACCGTCCGTATGAACTTCTGTGTTTGGAAAGCAAGACTAATTCTGATGCAAAGTCTCGACTGTGAGTGCATAGCCGAGACCTATAGCTTTAAGTAGTTTACCTCTATGGGGTGGGTGCGGCCAAATATTTGGCCACCGAGCTCCTGAAGTGTTTTAACTTGCGCAGTGAGCTGGAGCAGAGCCTTCTCTGTGAAGTTGCGGCTTTGTGCTGTTGGGCTGTCAGTAGCTGGTGATTGGCTGAAAGCAGGAAAATGCGTAATGAAGCAAACAGTCCGCTGAGAGTCCTCGGCTCCGAGCACATCTGCGTGAGCCAGGGTTCTGCACGGCTGGCCTGGCAGCCTCTAACATTAATAGAAACATGACCTCCATAAAATGCCTCGCAAGCAGTATTTTGTCCTTTAAACAGATGCCTTCATTTTCAGAAGATTAGTGTCGGCGGCGCTGTAATTGTCAATGGCTTGTGCGCTCTAATGACGCAAGTGTCTCTGAGGAAGACCAGGTCAATGACAAAAGCATTAAGGAGCTCAAGTATGCGCGTCGCTGCCCGGAGTACAGTGGCAGATAACTGCGAGGCGCTGGCTGTTATGCTTTTTATTCTGTAATTGCCAGGCCTTTGTAATTCGTTTACGTTACAGTGTAATTCTAGCACATTACAACCTCTCTGCGCAGCTGCAGATGCTGCGCACGCGGTTGTTCTCTCAGGAAGCTGCAGCTGCAGTCAGGAACGCGGAGCTGTGTTCACAGTCTGAGTGTCAGCAGCGCATCTGAGTGTCAGCAGCGCATCGGGAGAGCAGGAATCCCGTCCTGACCCCTCTGAGTGTCAGCAGCGCATCGGGCCGGGAGGGGAGAGCAGGAATCCCGTCCTGACCCCTCTGACGCAGTGAGCCGTGTGCTTTCAGCGGTGTCTCCTTTTCCAGGGGGTTTCTGAGTGTGAAATACAGAGCAGAGCTGGGAGTAGGTAGGCGCAGGGCAGACTCCTCCTCCTGTGAGCTGTTAATCGGGGGTCACATGGTCCCCCCCAAGCTGTAGATACGATCTGTTGCTGCAAAACATTTACATCGACAACATGTTCCGGAGGCAGTGCTCTCTGTGCCCCTTTGAGAGGCAGGGGGTGGGGGGTGACCGAAACGGAGCAGCGGCATGAGGACCCTTCCCATCATGCCACAGCAGGAGGCGAAGGCTGCGCGTCTGAGCGGTGACCCGCTGCAGGCCCGGGCATACATTCAGGAATACGCTGAATAATCACACGCTGAAAGGCCGCGATCACATCGCAACCACGGCTCTTCCAGAGAGATCTGCGCTTCGGTCAGGCCCGCCCCGCCCAGCCGCACAATGCCCAAAAAACACGGGGGACCAAACGGTCAGGCCCTGAAATAAATCTCCCACAAAAACGCTCTCTGTTACTCCCGGGTGCAAATCATACATTCTGTGTGTGCCAGCGCAAGGGGAGAAGCATTAAGGCTGTAAAATAAATGGGTGATTGAGTGTCGATTTGGGTGAGATTTACGGGAGTGTTGAGATTTATGCAGATTTCTGCTGGCTGCGGGCTAACTGGGGTTGTGATGTCACAGTGCTACACAGCATAGAATGGGTGCAGTCATGCTGTCTGTGGAAGGGAAGCTTTATTTATAGGGATATAAAAGCAACAGGAGTCCATGCAGGTACTTTGATGCTGACTGGGCTAAAGCTTGGCTGCACGGGCATTACGTGAAGATGATGGTGGTGGTGGTGGTGGTGTAAAGGGATGTATTGTTTACAGGTAGTAAAGTGCACTAATGTACACCCTCCACCTACCCATATGAAACACCTGCTCTGGAGTAAACACTCACACAGCCTGGGAGAGAGCTGGATGCATGCAGAGGCCATTCTAATCACAGTCTTAGTTCATCAGATTTTTTATGCCTGTATAGTTTCTCTGCCTTTCTCTTCGACTTCTGTATCAGCAATAAGGTACATAAGGTTTGCATCACTGTAATATCTGTAATTTAACTCAGAGAGAGGGACAGGTTTCTCTGCAAGCTCACAGAGAGAGAGGGACAGGTTTCTCTGCAAGCTCACAGAGAGAGAGGGACAGGTTTCTCTGCAAGCTCACAGAGAGAGTGACAGGTTTCTCCCCTGCGTAGAGGTGTTTGTCAGCTGCATGTAGCTGGTGCTGTTTTTGCTAAAACTGCTCTCTGAGCTCTTCCAGCTTGTACATTCATGTTCTTCTGGACCTGCCTGGAGTTCCTCTCTGGTCTCCTAGCAACACGCTCTTTTATCCCTGAATATAGAATGTTTTATGAAAGCGCTAATCTGAAAAGTCATGGTGCTGAATTCTAAGTACTGCAGATGATAGCGGGTCCCGTGTGGAGGGCTGTTCTGCTGTTTTGCCTTTCCTGCACTGTGCTCTGTGGAGAAACATTTAATTTTAAATATTCAGTTTGTTCCTGTACATGTGCACATCTGCAAGGCTTCTTGGCTCCTAAAGTTTGCCATCTTAGCAGATATTTCGTATGGTGAAAAAAATCTGTAACTGTTTGTGTTATTCCCCCTCTACTACTGTTCACACTTCAAAATCCTTGCTTTAACTTCAGTATCTAGGAGAGGCCTTTTTTTTGGATTTGTTTTCTGACAAAGTCTTCTGACTTTGACCTACTGGATAGTTTGTAAACCGAGTTCTGTTCTTTTAAATATGAATCTGCCAGAATGCTTGTGCTGATTTGTAACAGAGGGAGGAGTGACTGTTTGGGTGCTTAATGACTGATTTTTCTCTCCTTGCTTGAAACCCATGCTGTTTAAAAAAAGACAAACCCAGACAGAGAAGGTATATTATTTGAACAAATACAGTAACTCTAGTTATATGAATCAGAAAAGAAAACAGAGCTACGTGCAAGTTAGATGTTATTTCGTAACTTACATTCACAAGGTGTTTTTCTCCTGTCCAGTAAATGTTTAACTGTGTAGTTACTGCTTCAGCGGAAGCAGGAAGTTAGCAGTCAGCACTAACTGTTCAAATACTGCGCTTCTGAGACCTCCTCCTCTGTGCCTCCTGCTGCATCCTCACACATGCTCTCCTTTAAATAGCAGCTCACTGC